TAAAATAAGAGAAGATAAAAGAGGAAGACGTAAGATGGTGGACGTTGTACGGAAAGTGAGAGAAAAAAGACTGAGATGGTATAGACACGTAATAAAAAGGCATGTAATAAAGTTGGTTTATTCTGTAAAAGAATATCTACAGTGTAATCAACAATAAACTGATGGTAGAAATGACAAGGGACAGGACGAGATGAAGAAAAGAGTCGGAGCTATCGACCTTGCATGGGTCAATCTTTGGTCAGAGCTGAAAGATCTAAGGTGAAAATTATTAGGGTCGGAAAGCAATGGGGAAGAACCCGACCATACCAAGAAAATGAGTGCGGAAATAACAAAGGATGGAAAAGAATGGAGGAAACGAATCCCAATCTGGGACTAAAACTGGCTTGAAAAAGAAATAAACTATCATCTGTGAAAAAGTAAAGGAAATATTATAATATCTTACTGTTAGGTAAAAGAGGATCTAAATATCAAGGAACTGATGTGGAGGAAAAGAATCCGCGCAGCAGACCTCGGGTCAGTCTGGGATTATTGCCGGGTAAACGAAAATCTACATAGTAAGCACTGATGTTGGAAATGGCAGTCTGGAACTAAAGCTGGTGTAAAGACGAAATAAACTATAAACAGTCATCTGTGAATAAGTCAAGGTAACATCAAATATCTTACTGTTCGACTTTGGCAATGCTCCTGCAATAATAAGAGCCGTTCCACCGATAAAATAATAAACACACAATGGCCTGCGTCGTCCAAACCTAGATGAAATATAATAAACCATTACTTTCCATGCTTCACAAACAGTCAGCCATACAGGCTGCATGTAAAAGGAAACCATCTTTTATGCTTAATAATTTAAAAACTATATTAATTCTTATGAAGTGAATTTGGTCTTGTTTCGAAGCTTTTTCTTTCTAACAAGTACTCACTTGTGTCTTTAGTGCAAGAAGTAATTTTACAGGCGGAAATTAATTTAAGTCCAGAATGTTGCCGTTGTAGTATATCCAGAGAATATATAGAGATATTGGAAACTTCCCGTAATAGAGAGGTGTCCGTAACAGAGAGGTGTTTTTATTAAAGGTGTTCGTATTAGAGAAGACAGAGAAGTGTCGGTATTAGAGAGATGTCCGCGTATTAGAAAGTTGTGTGTGTGTTAGAGGGGTTTCTGTATTAGAGAGGAGTCCGTATTAGTGAGGTTTCCGTTTAAGAGATGTGTCCGTATTAGAAAGGTGTTCATATTACAGAGGTGTCCGTATTTAGAGGTTTCTGTATTAGAGAGGAGCCCGTATTAGAAAGGTTCCTGTATTAGAGAGGTGTTTGTATTAGAGACGTGTCTGTATTAGGGAGGTGCTTGTATTAGAGAGGTGTTTGTATTAGAGAGGACACCGTATTAATGAGGTTTCTGTACGGAGATGCTTGACTGTATTCTTCAATATACCACTCAATACACCTGTTTAGGACAAACATGGTTGCAGTAATGATGATAATTTCCAATGCTCCACTGATGAAGAAGTTTAAGTATTTATTTCCGGCAAGACTTGCGATGTTCAATGTCAGTCCATAGTAACCCATAGATGTCGAAAACCTGAAAGGTTACGAAATGGTTATGTGTGTATAGTGGATATACAGCGGTCACTAAATTCATGCTGGGTAGCTCTGTCAGTTCTAAACATTTTCCCTAGAGATCGAGAAATGACTTATTGATCCAGTGTTAATGCTGTAGAATTAATATCTGCGATGTTTGTTAGAGTAAAACCAACGGATTTTATATTCAAAGACTAAACAAATAAGCTTAAAAGAAACCCAAACTAGCATCGAAATGTTGTTTTTGTGTTTTAATAAACGCTTAGAAGTTTCGGACTGCGATTTAACTGTATTTTACGAGAGTACAAACGAAAAAAACTTGTTTGAACCAATACTGAATGTAAGCATGCAATCTGTACGCGAGGAAGCTCTTAAATGCGGCATAACAACAATCTTCCATGTACCAACGATTAATATGGTCTCTTTTGCTGGTCCTTGTTACTATTCTAGCTGCAGTGTTCTGAACATGTTGGAGTTTCTTGGTCTCAGTTGATGATTCTTCATGATATCACCTTAATCACGAGTTTCTTGATCTCGGTTGAAGTCCTTGATCTTAATTGGAGTTTCTTTATTTCATTTGGAGTTTCTTGATCTCGACCTGATCAGGAGTTTCTTGATCTCAGTTGGAGTTTCTTTATCTCAGGTGAAGTTTCGTGATCTCAGTTGGAGTTTCTTGATCTCGACCTGATCAGGAGTTTCTTGATTTCACCTTAATCAGGAGTTTCTTGGTCATGAGGTGTGTATTGATCCCAGTTGGAGTTTCTCGATCTTAGTTGGACTTTTTTGATATCACCTTTCTTGATATCACGAGTTTCTTGATCTCAGTCACAATTTCTTGATCTCATATTAATTAATCAGGACTTTTTTTTAATCTCAGTTACAGTTTCTTTATCTCAACTTAGAGGAATGTCTTGGTTTCGCTGATAAATCTTAATCGGGAGTTTAACTTTACCCAGATCTATACCTGACCTATACAGTGCCAGTCAGTATACTTACCAAATAACCATCATAATCAAAGATCGTTTCCTCAACACACTTGATCTAAAAATATCAACAATTGTATAACTCTTGATATCAGACCTATTCACCTCCGTCTTCTGAACATTAATTTCATTAACCGTTTTATCAAATATCTCTTGCGGGAAAGGAATCTTGTTGAAAGTACTGATGTTTCTGACGACTGTCTCTGCCTGGTCAACACGATTATTGATCAGAAGCCAACGAATGGATTCGGGGAAGCACCTACAGGAGAAAAAATCATTTAAATACAGATTTAGCCTCCTCCGCAGGTATCTCTATGGGTTATACCCGGCGAATGGGTGTTGAAATAAAAAAAATTAACAGAAAATAGGTAAAGCTTTCTACAGAGAGCGAGTTCTACTCTCTCGTGTATCGGTAAACAAGTTTTTCTGATAAGTTTCCCTTGCACAAGTTTTGTTGTTGGTGTGCACGGAATGTTGTTAAACAATTATCTCACGTCCAGGCCGCCTTTTGTCTGCCAAAGCCATTATGATATCACTAGCTTTGGAATAAGGCTCCTTGGCATGGGAAAATTGTCATTGTTTTGCCGTACACACGAGCAAATAAAATTTGTCAAGGAAATATTTCCATTCTTTACGGGGCGGGGCCTAAGTGATGGATCCAGCTAGATCTGGTAAAATTAGTGGGGAGGGTTTTTCATTGAGCCTTGTTTATGGCTTCAGGTGCAACCGTTAACCAAGTTCATAATCACTAGAGGTAGTTGTTCTGGAGAACTGTCGAAACATTGCGAAGTATCGATTTGTTAATCAAATTTTTAATTCTCCAATCGCAGTCACGTAAAATAATATTATTCGCGAACCAATAGATTAAGATTGAAAAGGAACCCACCATTGGAAGCGGAATGGCTTCGTTTTAAAACGAATTTTACACCTGAACGTTTTGCTCTATTATACATGTTTCGAAATTTACATTTGAATCGAGTACTCCGTATAGTGAACGAATTATAGATAATTTGATGCGACAGCCTTTCGCGTTTGCATTTCTGTTCTTGCCTTGTTTATCCACATACTTGAATTATGGCAGAATTTTTTTTATTCTGTGACACTAGCACTTACCAAACAAGTCCAATTTGAAACAGACCAATTGTCGTGGACATCAGCTGAATGTAATGCCAATCTTTGATTAAGTACGAGAACAGTGAAAATGCCATGATTCCAATGGCCCAAGGATACCCAAAACCAATGCCAGCGAATGTTCTGTACTGGGTCGCAAATATTTCTATCACAATTGTGAAACTTGCCATTTGCAGACCCTGGAAGGATGGAGAATAAATCCTGCATCGATTAATTGATTAAGAGGCAATTCGTTCTAAGGACTGGACAGGTTCAGAAACTAAAATCTTCTTGATGTATCTCTCAAAATTGCTTTGTTTTAGCTTTATTTTCTAGTTTATACAGTTATAGTTAAATTTTTAAATTAAATACAATTATGTCAATTGATACACCATGCAGGCGGAAATCTTAGTTTAAAGATAAAGAGCACAGACCAGCAAATAACTTTAAAACCAAACATATATAATAAAAGAAAAAAATTAATTTGTAATATTAAACCATTATTTTGTAAATATATATATATATATATATATACCATACCCTGTAAATTCATTTAGATTGCTCTGAAGATGTTGTATTGGGAACAACGAAACGTTAGCTAACAATTTTTTTACTTTTCTAATGTTTGGTTTTAAAGTTATTTGCTGAGCTCTGCTCTTCATCTTTAAACTACAATTAATTCACTTATCAATGATGCTTTAAAATTGACTGCGTATATTCACAGCAATGTAAGCAGAACTTCTGAACTTCAACATAATTTTCTCTTAATTTGGCGTACCATATACTAGCAATATTTTACAAATAGAGAAGTTGTGAGCTCGTGTTTAATTCGTATTATCATACATTAATTATGTAAGCTATTATTATGACACCAGTCGAAATTCCAGAGATCTCGTGTACACTTTCTTGGACCCGATTTTTTCCAGCTGCCCTGCTGTGTTTGTATGTACTACGCAGAGGAACTGGGCAGTTGCCACGTTTACACACCGATGAATTCAATTGCCAGACGAACCCATCCTTTCTTTGCCCAAGTTGGTCTAAACGATATATCCTTCTCAGGGGCAGCCCCGTCGCCAGGATTCATTCAAAATTTGAACGTCCTTCAATTTGGAAGCAAAAATTCAAGGCCTTGTGAAAGGCCTTGAATTCTTCTCGCCTTAGTTTTTTGGACATTTTGTGAAATTTGCATGTTTGACATAAAAACGAACATTTTGTTGAATTGATTTTGTTCATGTCTTACATTGCTGTTGAAATTGATTAATAGAAGTTGAACGTCGCCTTTAACCGATTTCTAAAGCTTTCTTTTTAGCCGTTTATAGTAATTGATACATGGCCTTGAAAGTCCTTGAATTTGACTCTTCCTGACCGTACGATTCATGTCTATGTAGCACATAAATCGTATATCAGTATCGGCTGGGAACTTTAACTAACCAGAATAACGAATCCAAGAAAGAATCGCAGGACAACAAAGGCGATGTAGTTCTTTATAAAGAACAAAAACAAGCCAAGAACAAATGGACAGAACATTGTAAACAGAAACACAGGTCTTCTTCCAAACTTATCTGATAATGTTCCGAACACCAGAGTCCCCAGCATTACTCCGACAAAATACATGGTGGTAGCCAGGTTGACTTTGTAAGCATTTTCACAGACAAGATCCCACTAAATAGAAGAAAAATGGAGTACTATTATTTAAAGACAGGACCGGACGTCATTTTCAACTGACGTGGGGCTCCAAGATAGGTACACTTTATAAACAATCTGTTAACCTAGAAATATAACCCTATTTGAATTAACTTAATATTTCTGGTTAAATGTACTGGTTATTTTAACCCTTTTCCTACAAAGGACTCGTAGTTAAATTAACCAAACAATGTCAGGTGGATAAATAACCAGGGACTCCTGTTAGTCAGGCAGACAGAGGAACAAAATTACTGAAATTATGAAAAACTTACCATTTCGAGGGGCAATTCCATTTTGCCGACACGTTTTTCGTCGAATTTTGTATTACTCTATTACAGTTAAAAAATGTGAAATTTCTACTAAAAATGATTTACATAATTTGAAAGCTTGCAAAAAACTATACTAGATACGACATTTAAACGGTTACCAGGGTTTTTCAAGTTCTTCTTGTGTGAGTTATGAGCTGTTGGAAGCGTGTTTTCAGACTAGTACCCAGGATTTTTGCGAGATTTTGTCTTATTTTTCACATTTGGAACAGCAATAACTCGAAAATCACTTGAAAATCCCAGCTAACCATTTAAATGTCTTATATCTAGTTTTTTTGTAAGCTTTCTATTGACATATAAGTCATTTGTATTAGAAATGTATCTGAAATTTCATATTTTTAAATTGTAATAGAGTTTAATACAAAATTCGAAGAAAAACATGTCGGCAAGAGCCTGCAAGATATTTTAACTCCGCCGACATACAGAAATGTACTTAATATAGCTTTCAGGGCACAAGGTGAGGGAAAAATGAAATTGCCCCTCAATGCAATTGTGGTGAGTTTATCCACCCAGCCACAGTCTGATTATTTTGGCAAGGGCATCCTGGACAAATATAACCGGATTCCTGGTTCATTAACCGGATTATGGCAGGAAGTAAGATAAAACCCCAGAAATATTAAGTCAACCTATATATATAGTGTAATTTCTAGGTTAATCAGAAACTTTTAACCAAAGTGTTTTTAGAGTGTAGTATATTTTACAATAAACATCCACGGTTCAGTGTGCCGGTAAACTGCTGGAAAAAGTATAAGAATTAAGTCCTTACTTCAGATATTATTGTCGTTTCTCCCTCAGGCAGATTATAAGTCCAACCATTTGGACATGGTATCTTTTCTGAAGTATTATAACCATCAAACAGATGACATCCATCCCATTCTGGCTTTCCATTCTTTGTTATCAATGGTACAAGTCGGCTAACATTTGTACTGTTTGCTACTGTGCAATGGTGTTTAGTTTTCGCTCCTATAAATGCCATTCCAACATGATTCCAGCATCCAAGAATGACGTTGCCAGAGATATATAGGTAGAGTAAGACTTGAAATTTTCCTGGTTTGCCCAGAGAGTTTGTCAATGTATCCGTTGTCATTTTCACAAGAGTATAGTGATTTTCTTGAAGTAGCTTAGCTGATGTAGCTACACTTTAACTGAAATGAGTGAAAACAATGAGAAAGTCCTTTGTACAAATGTGGTATAATAAGCCAAAAACATGGATGTCCCAATTGCTGTGTTTCGTTGAGTACCAAAAGTCAAACGAAGAGACAAGAATTTTGACACTAAGATCATTATATATATATATATATATATATATATATATATATATATATATATATATATATATATATAACAGCTCATATACGGTGACATCAGATTGCAGAACAGCTCATATACGGTGAATGACTATATTTTGTACTATTACGCTCCTTCACTTCGGTGTTGTTGAGCACTCTGCGGAGTTGTTAATGGATGTCTATTAGCGATAATGCAAAGCTCACTTCCCTTGTGGTCGTTCGAGCACTCTGGCTCCATTACGCTCTGCGCATGTCTGCATGCGTTGAGTAACCGTGTTGTACCACATGCCTTGGTGAGAGCAAGTTCATGGGGTATTAATACGAGTGTCTCACGTATCTAGACGTGTACCAAGCTGCACTGACGAGGCGTTGAACGCAGATTGTACTATATATATATATATATATATATATATATATATATATATATATATATATATATATATATATATATATATATATATATATATATATATATATATATAATAATTGCTAAACAAATAATAGACGAAAACGTTAAAGTTTACATTCATTTTAAAGCCTAGCCATTCCGCTTTCTAACAGTGGGTTGTTTCTTAAATTTGACTCATTGGTTCGCGGGTAATAATTCTTTACGTTATTGCGATTGGAGATTAAAAAAATTGAGATGGAATAACAAATCGTTCTCATGAAAATAACTGATTTTTTCATTAAAACAAAAAATGTTGCATTTTATTAAATGGATTGTAACAATAAGTATAATTACGGCTTTTCTTCCACTATTTTTAACTCAGTTTTAAACTTCAAATGCGATATAATTTTGGCTTGGACCATCTAAGCTGACTGACATCAACTTGCTATAATTTCTGTTTATATTACATCGCAATTCGATGACACTCTGGCTCAGACACCAGAATGTTTTGACGATTTTTAGCATTCGTTTAGGATTTTCAAACAACCTGGTCTCTTTTAAAATACTTTTAATTTGTTCTTACGTGGTTTTCAGATGTAGTGACGACAACATTAAAGTTTAAAGAAGAAAATTCTAACATTTAAACCGACTAAACAATAACATAGTAAACTTGCATAATTAAACAGCAACTAAAAATGATAGGTTTACTAAATCTTTTCCTGTGCAATTATTACTAGCATTGGAGACAAGGATAATAGTTTGTTTGAAAGAGAAAAGAACAGGCTTTGAAGTAAGCCTAAAAGCGTTTAACTAGAAAGAGTATTTCGAAAGTTATTAAGCACAAAAGATGAATTGCGTTTATTTTGATACACCCTGTATATATCGCTAATAGACACCCATTAACAACTCCGCAGAGTGCTCAACAACACCGAAGTGAAGGAGCGTAATAGTACAATCTGCAGACATGCATGTTTCGGCGTTCAACGCCTCATCAGTGCAGCTTGGTACACGTCTAGATACGTAAGATACTCGTATTTATACCCCATGAACTTGCTCTCACCAAGGCATGTGGACACGGTGACTCAACGCGTCCAGACATGCGCAGAGCGTAATGGGGCCAGAGTGCTCAAACGACCACAAGGGAAGTGAGCTTTGCATTATCGCTAATAGACACCCATTAACAACTCCGCAGAGTGCTCAACAACACCGAAGTGTTCCCTTGTGGTCGTTTGAGCACTCTTGCCCCATTACGCTCTGCGCATGTCTGGATGCGTTGAGTCACCGTGTTGTACCACATGCCTTGGTGAGAGCAAGTTCATGGGGTATAAATACGAGTATCTTACGTATCTAGACGTGTATCAAGCTACACTGACGAGGCGTTGAACGCCGAAACATGCATGTCTGCAGATTGTACTATATATATATATATATATATATATATATATATCTTTCTGCTTGCGCTGGGTATGAAAATTATATAATACACACTCTAGAACATTTTCACCTTAATATATATATATATATATATATATATATATATATATATATATATATATATATATATATATATATATATATATATATATATAACATATATATATATATATATATATATATATATATATATATATATATATATATATATATATATATATATATATATATATATATATATATATATATATATATATATATATATATATATATATATATATATATATATATATAGTGAAATGTTGCTGATAACAAGATACAAGTGTTGTATATAGAAAAGGTTTCAATGTGCAACCAAAAGAGACATTTATAACGTAAAATAAAATAAAAAATATATATATATATATAATTGGTCTATAACAGTGAATAATAGACCGAAATTCACTACGCTATACCGCAGAAAAAAGCAATGGATCTTGAAGGTCAAAGACATGGATGAAATAGGTATCATATTAGGCAAAGTGGTAGGTGGTAGGTAAGGTAGGTGACCTTACAGGGATGGATATAAAGGAATGCATATTGTAGCTACTGTCAGCGATATTTGTCCTACTATATATACTTTTTAGATCATGTGATTTTTAGATCATTTTGCTCAGAAATAAATCATTCGCCGAGACAAAAATTTAAAATCGATATTAAATCTACTTATTGTATTATTTATTTCGTTCTCTAATTCACTAGTATACAATGCCTCGAAAGTAGCGAGGAGAATAGCAAGTTTCTCACAATGAGAATAATTTCACCAACATGTGAACTAAAGCCTCCAGTAAAAGACGTCATTCAGAACATAGAAGAGCAAGTCCAAAACCTAACAACAAATGCGGAAATTCGAGAGCTACGACAATATTTGAAAGATGAGATCGCAAAAGTTCAGAACACTGTTGAAGAAATTCTTCATATTCTGCTGAATAAAACAAGAAAAGGTACATAAATTATGGAAAGAGTCTCATTGCATTGCTGTAAAGAGTCTTATTGCATTGCTGTAATAACGTACACAAGTTCCTCTTGGTAGGAATTAATGGATGCAACTACCTGAAAAATATATGCTTATCTTACTCCTGACGTGGGGCCTTCGCTCGAAAAGTCGTAATTCTCCTTATATTTTCAGGTAGTTGCATCGCTATACCAATTACGAATGTTTGTTATTACATTATTGGTACTAACTATATTCTGGCACCGACAGTTCAAGATTATTGCATTGCTCGCTATATTACTGCGAAAAAAGTATGAGTTAAGTCCATTTATATTGACATTTAGGTCGTTTTTCGTCCAAAATGTAAGTTTTAGTTTACGATCTGTGCGGTGGCGTTGTTTTTTTGTCTCATGCAACTGCATGCCTATAGAAGTTAGCTGAAAATTGATTATAGTTTAAAGTATTTATACAGAAACGATATAGCTACCAATCAATGTCGAGAAAATTTTTTATGTTATGTTTGTTATAAACGACATTATAATGTTTGTTATAAATTATAACCATTATATGTTAGTTGATTGTGACAAAAATCGCCAGGCTTGTTATGCATGGAAAGAGAGATTGAATTATTTCCCTCGTTTTCTCGCATTTTGCGTTGATATAACGAGATGCAGAATATCCAGTAAACATAAAATATTCACCAAAAATTATTTCTTGCTGCATGTGAATGGATTTCAGCAACATGACGAACTATAGGCTACATTTACTAATGCATGCACCTTTTCCTTGAGCTTTACTCTATCAACCCAACTGATTTCCGCGATTTGATTACCTCAGCCAAGAGCTTATGTAATATAACCTCATGGCCATGGTTTATGTGCACGTGTTGTCTTCTAGCATGAAAAATTACAACCTTCATTATAACACATTCAGGTATTTCTACTAAAATTTTTAGGGCGAATGGTAACATGCCAAGGACAAGTCGATTAAATTTCGTTTCAATTTGGACGAAAACTGAATCAGAAATTAGGAAAAGTTTGTCTTTCTTTTCCTAAATAGCCTTATATAGTTTATGTGTGCAAACATTTGAGTTATGCAGTCTTTCATGCAACGTCCCACTATAGTTTTAATATTTAAAATACCTCCAGTCTCATTAGGCAATCGTTACATTTTAGGTGAATGTTTCATGAATGGATCAATATTAAACCCAAAAACCACATCCAAATCAACATACACATCAATTCAAATTGAAGGTACGAAATTAAAATAATAATGCACCAACATATAGCGACTCAAAATTTTGGGGAAAATTACTTGATCTTATGAACGAACTTGCTCAATTTTTTATGACAAACTTTACCCAATTTTTTGAGTAAAGATCTACTTTACTCAAGAATATTAGTAAAATTGCTCCTAACTTTGAATAATATTACTGTATATTTTGAGTCGCTGTGGGTGCAATATATGTACTCAGTTTTTACTCAAATTCAAAATACAGTACTCAGGGATTTTTGGAAGTGATTAAATTGTATTATAATATAGCATTTGTTTATTCTGAACGCTGATTGGCTCAGTCGAGCCGTGTTGATATAACTCAATTATGTCAACACGGAAACGTCGGGAAATTTATTTCTTTATATTTCTCTGTGCTATATTATAAAACAAATATAAAACATTTTCCATATTGATATATAGTTATATGAACACTCGTGGAAATTGGGAAAACTCGAAATTGTGTGAAAACACTCCGCCCTTCAGACGTCGTGTTTCCACACAATTTCTCGTTTTCCCAATTTCCACTCGTATCAACACGGAAAATATCAACACGGAAAACTATGTTTTATATTTGTCAAATCAAAGCATTTGATGATAACTTACATCATCATCATCATACATCTCTCCTCAAAAGAGGCCAGATCTTCGTTTTGTCGCAACATTCCACTGTTTTATTCTATACAAAGACAAGTCTTCCTCCATGTCATTCCTACCGTAATCTCTCTTTACACAAACTATACATCGTTTCCCCGTTCTACCGCGTGGCCGTTTTTCCCGCCTTCTGTTCTTTGCCTATTATAAGTGATATAACGCGGCCGTAGTCTTCTAACATATCCCAACAATCTAAATTTTACTTCCATGCATGTTTTTCAGTCACTGCCAGCCAACAAAGATATATTTAATCTTCCATATTCCGTCGTGTTGTTCTGGTAGTTAAACTTACGCATGCACTAACGCACGTTAAAATTGGTCAAAACTAACCAAATTAACCAGTTGGAGTGAACAAAATGATACGAACATATAAGGTAGTGCATAATACCGTAACCTGCATAGTATCAGGCTTTATTAGTTTACCACAGAGGCTGACACAAATTTTAATCGCTCACATTCCATCCAAAGTAAAGGGTATATTTGCATGATATCCACTCAAAATGTTCCAAGAATATGTCAACTTAGCACAATAATAGTAACGATAAATCTAGTTACAGTTGAAACTGCTGAATATACTAGCATTAACTAAATTTGTCTTATAGAGGGTGTATAAAAACAACAGATTTGAAATTTCTCGTAATTTAGAAAAACAGCTATTAGTATCCAGATTTTTATGTATATAGCTTCTTTGGGTATTTATCATGTAGAATAATAAAAAAAATTCTCGAACTCAAATTTTGTGAGCCAGGTGGGTGCATCTTTTCCAACAAACTAAAAATGGCTTGCGCACGAAATTTAAAATAGATGGAAAGTTTGTTGGGTTTTTAATTACTGTACAAAATTTCAGACAATTTGCTTTAGTTTACTTTGCTTTATTCACGCAAACTTACATTTTTTCTTAAAAAATCAGTTATTTGCATGCTAATGGACCATTTGCATTATAGACTAAATTTTGATTTAGACAAAAATTTCATCACAGCTTGAAAGAGCATCACAAAATTAGTAATATTCCAAAGTTTCGTTGCGAAGTGTTGTAAAATGCCGATAATATAGCCATGCGAAGTTTGCCGTTTTTCAGTCATTTTGTATTACGCATGGGAAATTGACAGCCCAATCGGGTGTTGGGGCATCAATTTCCCGTTTGTAATACAAAATGACTGAAAATTACAAACTTCGCAGGGCTATATTATCCGCATTTTACAACATTTCGCAACGAAACTTTGGAATATTACTAATTTTGTGATGCCCTTTCAAGCTGTGATGAAATTTTTATCTAGATCAAAATTTAGTCTATAATGCAAATGGTCCATTAATGCCTGTGCATGCCTAATTTGCATATGTCAGCAATATGCAAATTAGGTAAAGGCATTAATTAAGCATGCGGAAGGCTAAACTAAAGCAAATTGTCTGAAATTTTGTACAGTAATTAAAAACCGAACAAAGGTCAACAAAGTTTCCATCTATCAACTCAAAATATGATTAAAGCTTTTAAATTTGGTGCGCAAACCATTTTTAGTTTGTTGGAAAAGACACACACCCCTGGTTTACAAAATTTGAGTTCGACAATTTATTTTTATTATTCTACATTATAAGTACCCAAAGAAACTATATATATCAAAAACTGAATACTAATAGCTGTTTTGCGAAATTGAGAGCAAATTTCAAATCTGTTCAGTTTTTTTAATACATCCTGCATGTATAGACAAATTATGTAAAAAGCCGGTATTTTGTTTTTTTACATGTGGTCAGACAGAGTGTTATGTCGTGCAGGCCTTCTTTTCTCTTTCCACCTACCACATTTAGGGAAGGAAAAGTGACCTGGTACTCAAGGTAATAGTATACTAAGAAAAGAAGAAGAGTTAGTGCATTAAGATATATACATTGAATGTTGTGAAACAGTCCGCCATCCTCATACACCTCTACACATATATAACTTACTGTAATTTTCATGTTACGTGACAGTATATGGTCACTTAGATAAGATTATTCACCATTTGATTTGATTGACTTAATCACTTTAAACCTTGTTTTTCAAATGCCATCTTCGGAGTTACCAGATTTTTAAATGGCAATAAGCAGATTAAAGTAGCAGAATGTACTTAGCCTGTATATTGCTGCGGCTTTTATTTTTCTTTAGAGATGGTATAGTTGTAATAAAAGGTTAGATATGTCAAAATTTTTGTATCTGCGAAGCAGATATATTGCTATCCCAAACGTGCTGTTACCGTACTGCACATATAGCCATTCAGCAACGATCTTATAGAATTGAGCCAGTTTAAGTTCCGGGATCGTAAAGGAATTTTATCCGAGTGGTAACAGATTTCACGGGGTAACACAAACCACTGTGACACCGCATCAAACCTGCGAACGGGCATAGTTTGGCCTTGTGTTTTATTAATATTCTTATTACGAAAGTCATCGAACTGTGGAATTGCATAAAAAATTCGTATCGTCGCCATTCCACAGTTCGGTGATTTTCGTAATTTATTCTTTGCCATTTTGGCTTTTGGCTTCAAAAATATCTTGATTTTATCTTGAATTGGCTGTCTTGCTTTCTCTCCATTCTATACTTGCGATATTATTCCGAAGTTATCCTGATCAACATGGAAACTTATCCTCATATGGTAGGTATAAAATAACACATATTTTTATTAATTGGCAATGGATATTTTAATAATCCATTTGTCAACATAGTTCACAAAAACATTTGCTATATAATACAGTAAAACAATCATTCTGTTATATTTTAAACACTCAAAACATGGCAGGCAATTTTGCCAATGAACAATATCAAAGGAAGCTAATGCTCTCAGGAGAAAATGAATTAAATCCTGGTTCTGTATTTCTGTAACTCCGTTCAAAACAACAGTCCAACTAAGCTGTCATCAAATGTACATGTAGTGTTAAAGCAATAGTTAAAGATGTTATCTGTTAAACACTTATACATTTTGGTTTTACACATTAAATGCTAGTAAAAGAATCCCCACCCTCCTTAAATTCCTCATTACAATTTCATTTCACTTTCTAACATAAATTTTTTTGTTTAGAGATTAATACAAGAATGATGACTAAATAAATGTACTGGATATTGACTGGATAATTTTGTCAGAACCACTCACTTTTTTGCAAGACAATCTTATACCTAAATTCAATAGTATGGAAAATAACTACAATAATCATATATTATATGGATATAATCGATCAATGGCACACAATCTACAAAACTAAACTTGTGATACCTTCTACTCAATCCAATTTTCTCCCAGAACACAAATTGTTTGTGTGGATATGCTGTGTTAAACCGAACAGCGTGGTATATCATTAACTGTGCACAGGACTGGAATTGTATATTCAGTGGTTGTCGATATCTGATTGACCTCTTTCTATTAAAGTAATGCATGTTCCTCAAATAGTTTGTGTATGTTACTCAAAAGTTAACATTGGCAAGTGCAAACAACAAGTGACAGTACTTTTGCTTCATATGATTACAATAAAATTTTGAAAATTCAATGAGTATGGATTGAATTGACAGTTTATTAAATAACTGGCGGCAGGCTGTATCGACACTTCAAATTTTATTCCATTACTACATAATTATCCGTTACAATCATAATCACATTATAAAATTAGTTAAATTTTCTCGGCGGTTATATTTGACTTTAAAATCTTATTTGCTGTTATATTTATTATAATAAGTGATAAAATATTTCAATTGTCCATGTCATCTTGATTACTCAGTTCTTTTCAAGAAAATACAAAATGTGAAAAGTTTTTTCGCAGATACATGTACGCGTGGCGTACCTATTTTTATATTATTTAAAAAGTTGATCTTTCTTTAATTTCTATATAAGGTAAAGACTGCGCTGATTTATTCGAGAAAGGAATAAATGCTAGTGGAGTATACAAGATTGACCCTGATGGCCTTGGTAGCTTTAATGTTTTCTGTGATATGACCACATCCGGGGGAGGATGGACTGTATTTCAACATCGTCTTGATGGAAGTGTTGATTTCTACCGAGGATGGCAAGATTACAAACAAGGCTTTGGAAATCTGGATGGAGAATTTTGGCTCGGTTTGGATAAGATTCATAGACTAACAACAGCTGTTTCTGTAGCGGCACTTCGGATTGACATGGAGGATACTTCTGGGAATAAGCAATACGCATTGTATGATTCGTTTGCTGTCGCTGATGAGCAACAAAAGTACAAGCTGAGTGTTGGATCTTTTGTTGGTAGGGAATTTGGCTAAATGTGTATAACCTCTAGGACAATGAGCATTACATTATAACTTCTTAGGATTCTGCTGAACCCAGGGGCCGGTTGTTTAGAACTCTTTACTACTGTTTAACTACCCGTTTTGTAGTTAAATATAGTGGTTAACTTAACCACGTAGTTAAGTCGGTTGTATATATTTGTTAGTATGTAAAACAAGATAATTCTATAACAAAAAAATGTTCTTCGCAAGCGACAATAATTCCTGAGCCAACGGCTCGGAGCGCCGTTCCGGGCGGCTCGGGGCCAGGGTATTAATTCGGCCCGGCTATTTACACTCGGGGAAAGGAAAGTATTAGCGAAGTCTAAAATTCATCAATAATCGCGGGCGCGTGACTATGGTTTATCGATGGGTGGTCATCTCACTGATATACCTTGATGGTGGTCATCTCAAAATATTGCTGTTTTCCAGGAGGCAGATATTTCAAAAACAGGTAAGAAAGCTTGGTAAATCGTTTCACACATGCAATAAATTGTAAAATATTTTTTTCAATTTTTGAACGTGATATGGCAATATAAATTAAGTTTGTCTTATTTGAAAGAAAATTTAAAATGGTATATAAAGTTCCGTTTATTCTGTATCTTGCTTGGTTTTCTAAATAAATCGACTTGTTTTGATCAAAAGCAGTGTCCATTCCGCCATCTTGGATATGCATTCGATATGCATACGTCACAAGTAGGGTAAAAAGTGAAATTTTGATCTTGCAAACCACATTCATGTCATTATCAATGTGAAACTCGATTTTCCGAAGTCTTTTTAGTACTCAATTAACTCAAAACATTTTGAGAAACTTTTCGAAGAAATTTAGTCCCACATGAAGAAGTTTTAACAAGTTTACCCTACTTGTGACGTCATCAAAAACTCAGTTAATTAGGTCAATCATAATACCAAGATGGCGGACTGCACACTGTTTTTGGTCAAAATATTTCGAATACCAAGCAAGATAAGAAAAAGTTGTATATATAACTTTAAAAGTTCATTCAAATAAGGGCCCCTCCCCCAAATAAGACAAAGTAAATTTTTATTGCCATATCCATTTAAGAACTGATTTAGTATGAGAAATACTAAAGTACAGGGTAAGTTAGTTTTGACTGTCTATATATGTATGACTTTGTCTTTGTTTTTTTATTCAGGTTTTTCCTAAACAAGCCCAGCTTTCCTATTCATTGTATGCGTCGGTTCCTTAAATTAATTTGTAGATCATAAAAAAAGGAGAGTAACTTCCTGTATGCATTAGCCTCCTGTATGATTTAAATGTATTTCGTTTCGAAATTAGTATGAGTAATAAGTTGATAAACTTGGCAAAAAGTTGTTAATTGCAATGAAAATTTAAAAACGTTTTACGTTTTATATATTTTAAAAATTGATAGTTCTGTGGTTAAAAGTGTTCAAGTTTCATTTATTTTTTTCAGTTTTGTACAAAAATATTAAAAAAACAATTATCGTGTTGCCATGGCTAACATGGAGATGCAAATAAATTACCATAGCAGCTAGAAATAGCATACTGAAAGGAGTAAAACTGCAAAGTTTGGTTGCGAAATGTTGTAAAATGCATATGCGGAAAATGTAGCCTTGCAAGTTTTGTATATTACTTTTGTATTGCGTGCGGAAATTGCTATACCAATTCGGTCCAAATGTGCTATAGCAATTTCCGCAACCAATACAAAAGTATACAAAATTTGCGAACTTTGCAAGGCTATATTTTATGCATTTTACAACATTTCGCAACCAAACTTTGCAATTTTACCCATTCTAGTATGCTCTTTCCGGGAATATACTTTTTGCCAAGATAAAAAAATTAGTCTATAATGGTTTATTGTTTTCTTAATTTTTTGTTCAAAAATTAAGCAAAAATAAATTAATGTTTCACACTTTTAACCACAGCTAGAACTACGATTTCTAACATATATAAAGTATAGGTATGTTATTTTGCTTTCTATGGGAGTTTATTATAATGTAAAATTCAACACGAACGCATCGTAAAACGTTTTTAATAAATGTTCATTGAAATTAACTGCTTTTTCCCATAAACTCTTCAACTTATTACTAAATAAATTTAAATCCTACAGGTAGCTCTTGAAAATAATTTTCTTCCTTCTTTTATAAAAAAATTAAAACATCTTAACTTTCGCAAAGAATGAAAAGGAAAGCTGTACATGTTCCAAGGCCTTCGGGCGAAAATTCCGAAAACTGGACAGCAAATTTAAAGTCATACATCAACAATAAAAACAAACTTACCCGGTACTTCAGGATTTCTCATACTTTCTTTAAAATTTGAAAAAGGTGATTTACAACTTATTTTGTGAAAAGATGTCCAAGCTTTCTGTCATGCGTGTTGTTTTTATCATTGCTTCCTTCACTCCTGGAAAACAGCTATATTTTTGAGATTAGTAAGATGAGCACCCATGCATAACCATGCGCCCGCGATTATTGAGGAACTTTAGACTTCGCTAATGCTATCCTGTCCACGGGTGAAAATAGCCGAGCGGAATTAGTGCCCTCGCCAAGGGCTTTGCCCTACGCGCTCCGCGCGTGGCACGGGGATTACAATTAATAATACTTATTATATGGCAAGCATCACTTCCGGTGAAATGGCGGATTGAGATTGGCTGTGAAGCACTTTAAGGGGTCCATTATTTCCCCGTAATGGACCGGCGGTCTATTACGCAAAAACAAACGCATGCATTTTAAATTAAAATAAAACAGCAAAACTAATAGAAAATTTCAAAATTATTATTTAATTCGTTATTGATAAGATGTCTGCGAATGGTTTTTAGTGGAAAAGAAGGAATACAATGGTATTTTTTGTTTTCTTCGACCAAATGTGTATCACGCTGCTAATATGCATTTTAAATCATGCATTTCTTGTTTTTTTTCTCAAATATATACATATAATAAATTTTTTATTATTAACCTCACTTGCTCGGTATGTACAAAGAAACATCGGACCTCGGTCTTTTTGTACAAAACTCGCCCTATGGGCTCGGCCAGTACAAAAAAGACCTCGCGGTCCGATTTCTCTCTGTACAGACTTTGCGTTCGGTTAATAAGAAGTTAGCAGCAGAATAATTTTTGTGAAATTCGGATAAAACAAACATTCGTGACTTTTTCTAACACCTCAAATAACATTTGCATTGGGACTCTGATGCTCATTGAAAAACCCACGCCTGCATGTTTTATCTCAAATGTTCTCGAAACCGTCTTTTAGCTTATACTAATTACTATACAAGTTCCTATGTATTTTAAATGTTGAAGGACTGTTACGCAATCGCGTGTCGCTTATTTCTGGCCATGAGACATGCACGTACAACCCTACCGAAGACTCGTGACTGGTCAGTTTGAGTTATCTCTGAATGAATAACATAATGCTCTTATCTCTAAATGAATAACATATTAAAAGGTGTACATTTCGGTCAGCGTTCAGGAAAAAGGTGGAACAAACATCAGTTGCAACCAGTGTATTGCCTTAAAGTTTGTTCTATATTCACCTTCATGATCAACACATGACGTATTAAGTTTACTTATATTATCTACTTATATAAGCTATTCTTCTTTGCAACTATTGTGATATTATTTTCCTAATTATGTTATCCTAACTCACCCTATCATCTTACCGCCACTGTGGGAGGAAACCGAAGCGCCTGGACAAGACTCGCGACTTTCGGCAGAGCGTTGAGAAGTTCTTTTCACAGTGAGTCCGTAAGCCTAACGTCTTTAGCGAGAACCTAACCCATTACCCATGCACGATCTCAGAGGTGAAATGCGCTTGCTCTAACGATTATGGATTAGAAAAGACTTTTCCAGATCTATTGACCTACTCAGGAATTAAATTGCTGCCAGCAAAAATTTAAACCCGCATTACCAAGCTGCGACCTAATACTTTAATGGGTAGCTAATATTGCATTTGCAAAGTATTTCCTGTATTTTTTTGTAAGCTCCACGATTATAGTTATTGTTGGTTAATTTAAATATTTATTTTACTAACTTTCTTTAGGTACAGCAGGAGATTCTTTTACTTATCAAAATGGTATGGCATTTGCGACTAAAGATGCCGACACTACCGGCAACTGTGCAAAGACATTTAAAGGTGCTTGGTGGTATAGAGGTTGTCATTATTCAAATTTGAATGGTCTCTATCATCATGGCGCACACAAAACGTTTGCAGACGGTATCAACTGGGTAACTTGGAAAGGCTATCACTATTCGCTGAAGTCAACATCAATGAAAATCCGACGTCGTCCATTTGGACTATAAAATCAGCGTAATGAAGCACTAGTAAAATGTTTCAACATACAGGGATAACTTTACCTACGTCGATAATATAAGATCGAATAGAAAATGAAATAATTCGATAATGTATTAAAACTTGAAACATTAAGGCGATTAAGAGACAAATATTGTAAGCCCATGAGCACATGACTTTCAAACAAGACATAATAGTAAAGAGTAAAATTTATTTGCTGACGTTATGTTGTATACATATCACAATATATATTCAGAGCATTTACAACTATTTAAAATATACTATATATTCAAATTAGCGAGTGAGAAGAAAGAAGAAGAACAACCTGTCAGTTGCCTGCAACGAGCCAATTACCTATTATTAATATTAAATGTTATTTCTATATGGCAAGCAT